TTTACTGAACAAAGAATTTTAGTAAAAAATTATATTACTAAATTTTCATTCAAAATTGCTCTTACTACTGATCTTTGGACATCTTAAAAAATGGAAAGTTTTATAGCTATTACTATTCATTTTATTGATAATCAATGGAAATTACAACATTTTGTTTTAGATATTTTTCAATTTAAAGGATCTCATACTAGACAAAATATTGCTGATAAAATATATAATTTACTTGAAGAATTTGAAATAGATACAAAAGTTATTGCATTAACTACTGATAATGGTACTAATATGATTTCAGCTTCAAATTATTTATAAGATAAGTTAGATAATTTTTGTCATTATAGATGTATAGCTCATATACTAAATTTAGTTGTCTCAGCTAGATTAAAATTTTTAGAAACTCCAATTAAAAAATTACGAAAATTAGTTAAAATTATTCAAAAATCAACTAAATATCTTGAATATTTAGAAAATATTGTAATTGTGAAAAAACAGTTTTTTTTAGTTCCTGTTTTAGACTGTAAAACCAGATGGAATTCTACATATTTTATGCTTAAAAGAGCATGTATACTTCGGAATCAATTGAAATGCTATCAATTAAAATGCTATCAATAAAACATCTAATATTAAAAATTTATATACCAGATAATAAAGATTGGATAAAATTTAAAAACTTAATTCAACTTTTAGAACAGTTTAATGAAGCTACTATTGAACTTTTAGCACAATCATATCCAACAATTGCATATGTACAAATAATTTTATTAGCTCTTCGAAAAGATTTAGAATCTAACAAATATGATAACTTTCAATTAGATAATGTTATTGAAGCTATGCTATCTAAATATATTGATAAAAATTTTTGTTTTCCTAATATAACAATTGAAGAAATTTTAACACCAGTTCGAGAAAAAATACAACAACAATTACCTTTAATATCATCTCAATCTTCTAAAAAAATATCAAGTTTTTATCAAAAATTAAAAAATAATACTCAAGAATTACAACTAGTAGATGATGAAGTTCAAAAATATTAGTTATTTGAAGAAGCAGATGAAATTATAAATCTTTTAGATTGGTGGCAAACTCATACAGCAGAATATCTATCACTTTCTAAACTTGCACAAAATTTTTTATGTATTCAAGCAAGTTCTGTTCTATGTGAACAACTTTTTTCTATTGCAAGTCAAGTAATTTGTAAATCAAGAAACAGATTAAGTAGTAATTCTGCAAGAGCATGTTTATGTTTACGCAGTTGGTTATTAGAAAATATTAAATAGTTAAACTATATTTAATTATATTTTTATTTAAATAATATTAAATATATTTAAATTCTTAAATAAATATTTTAATTATTTATTTATTAATTTATTTATTTATAATATTATAATTTATTTTTAAATTTAAATATTTATTTTATTTTATCTATTTATTATTTATTTTATTAAATTTAAATATTTATTTATTATTTATTTATTTAGTTAAATAAGGTTTTTTCCCATTGGATTTTTTTCCTAGGCAGTTAGCCTAAATTTTATTATTATTTAATATTTATATAACTATTAATTTATTCTTTATTCTTTTAAAAATATTTATTATATAAAATATATTAATTAAATATATATTAATAATTAACTATAAATATATCTAATTATTGCTACTGAATATAATTAATAGCTATACATATTAAATATCATAGCTACTTGATCAAACATTAACTGGTCATTTATCAGTTATAACTGGTTATTTTACTGTATAACTAACTGCGGTCAAGCAGTTATAAGTCAATAACTGATAATAACTGACTGATGACCAACTGTGATCAACTGAACCTATCCCTACACTAGACCTAACTATATTATACTTCTAATATCTAGTTGATATTAGTATAATATGATTTACAGAGTTACAACTCCAGAAATAAACAGAGTTTACTATAAGTTAAATACAGAAGGTCTAAGTAATTATTTAAATTTGTTAACAGTAGGATTTGAACTCCAGACCTCTTGTATAGTAGTCTAGTAATCTAACTACTATACTAAGATTACTAGACCTTATCTGTTGCTATATTAATAAGTGACTTTTTGTATTATTTATAAGTTGTTCTAATACAAAAAAGATTTATTTATCAAGCTTTATAAAGAATCATATCTCTTTTATATTTAACAGACTAGAGATCTTTGTTCTTCTAATATCTGTATTTTTATATATTTTGTTAATTTTTATATCTATTTTAGCTACTTTATAGAACTTTTATGTTCTAGAACAGATTTGTTAAGCTTACACTTTTTATTTATAGGATTATTCAAGAACTTGCTTTGCAACTATTCTTTTTTAATTTGTATTCTTGTAGTTTTTTCTAAAGTTTTTTACTAGTTTATTCATATTGTTAGCTCTATGAAATAGTATATAAGTTGATTTTGCTATATTAATCTTATATCTAAAAAACTTATATAACTACAAATTGAATTTGCTATCAATTTAGCTAGTTTTAATTTGTTTTTTATCAGTATTCAAATTAGTCTTTGCAAGCTCTTAAATATTAATTTACTTATAAATATTGTCTAAAGTCTATATTCTATACTTGGTAATAAGATACTATTGTTCAAGTAAATAGGCTAGCTTGCTAATACTTTTTTTTATTTTATAGCTTTGCATATTCTGCTTACTTTATTTTGATAATATTTAAACTATATTATTGTTTTCTTTTTTCTAAAATCTAAACACCTAAATGCTTTGTTATATCTTAGTCTTTTTTTGTAAAAACTTTATCTTAGTTCTTTTTTATTATGATTACTAAAAACTCTTTGTCTATTTCTTTTTTTATAGTATTGACAATTACTAGCTCAGACTTTTTACTATTGATTCCAATATTGTTTATCTTATAAAATTTGTTTAAGATATCTACTATTTTCTAAAGCTTAACTTTTAACTTTGCTATCCAAATTGTATTATCTGTATAAACTAATACTATTTGCTAATATGATATTTTCTTAGACTTGTTCTAAGCTAAATTTGTTAGCCAATTTGTTATTATCTAGTATTCTAATTTTTTTATCTCTTTTATTATGCAGAAAAGTAGATTATAGAAGATGCTTCAAGCTAAAGATAAGATAACTTCTTTTTAGTTGAGTTTATTTTCAGCTATAAATTTATTTGTTAAACTAAAACTTGTAATTACTTTGATTCTTATTTTTTATACAAACTCAATATAAATCTAATAGTACTTTTAAAAAGTTTAATTCTTTTTAATACTTTTTCTAGCATTTTTAGATCTATAGAGTCAAATACCTTATACATATCTTGAAATAGAATTTATAACTCATTGTTCTTCTGTTTTGCATTCTCAACTACTTTACTAAATTTTTAAAATTTAGATTTGGTAAAAAATAACTAATTTTTACCTAAATTTTTAGTAATATTATGCCACTT